AAAGTGCAAACAGAGTGCTCCTTAGAGGCAATGATGGTGAAATTCCATCTTACTTACTCTGGGCATATTCTCAGAAGGAATTATCCTTGGAGAGAGACATCATGCTGGCAAAGGTGGAGCATCAGAGAAGAAGAAGACCTCAACAAGATACACTGACACAGTGACTACCACAATTACTTGAGCATGACAGAGATGATGGGGAAGGTTGCGTGATACAGCAAGATTCAGAGCTGTTATTCATGTCATTATGAGTTGGAATCACATAACAATCATTTGTCTATTTGCTGTACTGAACAACTTGGAGTTGCTGTGATGCTGAACACTATTCCATAGTCGTGTCAAATACCATAATGTTTACCCATTATGTAGAGTGGTTGGATGAGCTTCCAGATTGATTCATATTGGGAAGCAGGAGTGGCATCCACTTCCTAAACCAGATGCCTCTGGAAACTACAAACTCTCTTATTAATGTACAGAAATATACAGGTTTCAGGTCTTTTGTGCAAAGCCTACTCTGAGTAATATTCAACTCTACAACACTTAGGCACTGCTAAGTGAGACTAATGCCGTTATATCTAGAGGAACATTCTTCCACTTTACACATCACTCTTTGTCAATGTGCTATATGAGGTAACCTGGGTTTGTTATGATGCTGAACCTTGTACCATGAGGATATCAAACATCATAATGGTTTCCCATTGTGGACAGTGTTTAGTGGAGTTCCCAGCTGTAAAACACGTTGGGAAGTAGGAGTAGCATCCACTTCCTAAACCACATGCTTCTGGAAACTCTATGAACTCGGAGAAACACTACAGAAAGGAATTAGGTCTTTTGTTCATAGTTGCTCTGAGTCAACCCCGGATTGATGGCAATCAATAACATCAACAACCACCTAACCCTTGTGCACTACAAAGGTTTAAGGCAGTGGAGAACAAAATCCTTACCACTAGACCAATAGGCAGCCTCATAATAAATAAAGGTTGAAATTGTAAGCAATTTCATTTTGCTTGGAACCACAATCAACTCTTTGTACTAGCAGTCAGGAGATCAAGAGACTTACTGCATTGGGAAAGTGTTGGAGACCTTTCAAACGTCTTGAAGAGCAATGATGTCAGTTTAAAAACTAAGGTGTGCCTGATTCAAGCCATAGTCTTTGCAGTCACCTGCTATGCATCTGAGAGTTGGACAATAAATATGGATGACAGGAGAAGAACGATGCCTTTAAGTTGCAGTACGGGAGAAGAGTGCTAAATATCCCGTGGAGTGTCAAAAGAACAGATAGGTCTTGGACTGTAACCAGAGTACTCTTTGTGAGGTAAGGATAGCAAAGTTGCTGGGAGCAGCTTGTTCTACCTAGCTGAGGCCATTTTGTAATTCTCTGGAGCCATTTTGTAATTCTCTAAGGACATGTCTGGACATGTTGCCCCACCCTGGGAGGATAGGTTTTGGTTTACTGGGAACGCCCTGCTAAGTTTCTGTTTACCAGATAACTTTCAGCTTACTGGAAACGACATGTTATTCTCCCCCACTGCGTACTTCTCCTCCCCCATTGTGCTTCTTTATATAAGCTGTAAGTGCTTTCAATAAAATGGAGACTTGATCGGAAATTCGACTTGTCTTCCTGCTTTTTGTGCCTCCTGTCCCCCCCCCCTTCTTGTTCTTTCCCTCCTAGGGTCACCGCTGAAGATCCCCACGGGCCGGGGCACAAAGTTACATCTCATATACTTTGAATATGTTGGTAGGAGAGGTTATTCCTTGGAGAAAGACACCATGTTTGGAAATGTACAGAATAAGTGAAAGAAAGCAATGGGCTCAAGTGCATCAGGGATGATAAGGATGGCAGAGATTCAGATCTATTGTTCATAGGGTTGCTATAAGTTGTAGTGGGCTCAATAGCACTTAACAAGAAGACAGTGAAGTCTTCTTAATTAGAGAAGACTTCAACTCCTGAGTACAAACTTAAAACTTATGAGAGTTTCAAAGTTTCAATGATCCGCTCATAGGAAACATTACATCTTATTTACTTTCCTAAGGCATCTATGTCAGGCCTGTATTTCTGCTCCAAGATGTTAAAGGATTTGAGTTGTTGTTATTGTTGTTATGTGCTGTCAAGTCACTTGCGACTTATGTACAACAGCCCTGAAACCTGTTCTATTCTGTGCCCACTTTACTGTCTCTGACACCCTTACCCTCATTACCCATCACTGTATCAATTCATCTCATCGTCTCCCTCTCGTTTTCCATCCCTCTGCACTTCCAAGCATGATGTTCCTCTCCAAGGACCAGTCCCTTCTTGCAACTGGAGCAAAGGTATGTCAGATGAAGCCTCAGAATCCTTGCCTCCAAGGAGCAACCTGTCTTCACCCTTTCTAGGACACACCTGTTCATTCTCTTGGCAGTCCATGGTATAGTCAACACTCTACAGTATCATAGCTCTAAGGCATCAATTCTCTATCAACCTTAGTCATTATCCTGATGCATAGCACGCAACTGCGAAGACTATGGCCTGGAGCAGGAGCACCTTAATCTCCAGACTAATGTTGTTGCTCTTCAGTACTCTGGAGAGGTCTCTGAAAGCAGACTTTGCCAGTGCAATTCATCTTTTAATTTCCTGGCTGCTGGTCCCAAGAGTGATGACTGTGGAGAGAGGCGAACTAGAGCTGTTAACAATCTCAATCTCTTCACCATCTATCATAATGCTGCCAATCAGCCAAGTGGTGAGAGTCTTTGTTTTCTTGATGGTGAGCTTCAATCCATATTGAAGATTGCAGTCCTTGATTTTCTGAACCAAACTTTGAATACTGACAAGATTACTCATTGTTGTTTGTTTCATCCTATTTGTTACTTTTTTTCTTGCAAACTTTAAAAATTTTTTATTTCCTAGCAGGTCCATATTTTCATGGAAGCTCAAACCGAGAAGTACAAGGACATAGACTCAGACTGCACGTTGTCCCATCAGAGCAGCAGGAGCCACCTCCCCTCTCAATTCTGTGCTCAAAGCCTCATTTCCACTCCAGGCCAGGTGTCTATATCCGCAGCCTAGTGCTTAAAGTCTGGGTTTAGGGTTTTTACAAGAATTAAGGGGAAATAATAAAAGAACTCTGTTTCTTTTTTAAATAAACAAACATAAGAACACCTTGGATTTGTCAAGGACATATATGCAACGTGAATGTCTCAGGGAGGGTAAGAGACATCTATCTGTATCCGCTTCCTAACACCCTCCTCCTTTCTAGTTTCCTCTTAATGAGAACTGGAAGGAAAAGGGTGCAGCACAGCCTCTGCACTAAGTTACTTAAAACAAGGACCAGAAACTATTCTGTTTCTGAAATATTGCAGAGCATGCATCATTGAAATGAAGGTGGCAGAGGAGAGTAGGGTGTAGGCGTGCGACAGGTTCACAGGCAGGGAGTCCGGCCCAGAGGCGCCCCCGGCCCTGGGGCGGCGCCACGGGCCAAGGGGCACAGAGCGAGGTGGCACGGAGGCGGGAAGAGCGGACGGCGGATCCTGCCGCCCCGACGTGCCTCGCAGTGTACCTGATCGCAGACGGCCGCTCCACAGCCCCCTCCCGTAGCCCGGGCGGGGAAGAAGGTCACTTCTCCTCTGAACCAAGACCCTCGCCAGCATCGCCAGCATCGCGCGCCTCTCAGTTCCTCAATCCTGACGTGAGGGGACAGACCCGCAAACGTGCGAACTAAAATGAGAGGAACAGAGAATCGCGCAGCAGGTCACCGAGGACGAGGAGGCGTCTCCCCGGATCTGGGGGTCAGGGCGGGGCAAGGGGCCAGCCGGGAGGCCAGGGCGGACACAGGCTGGCTGGCTGGAGCATTGGGGCGGGGAGGAATCACCCAGGGCTGGAGGTTGGTGGCGGGTTTGGGGCAAAGGGACAGCCGGACGGCCGGGGGCGGGGAAAGGCTGGCTGGAGGTGGAGCATCAGGCGAGAAGGAGACACCCCAGGACTGGAGGTTGGGGGCGGGTTTGGGGCAAGGGG